CTCCTTTTGGGCCTCTGGAGGCTCCGTTGAAGTTCTCCGGAAGCTGACTCAACAGTAATCAACCATAAGTCGGATATGTCGAAACTCATATATACATCTATTACATTCGTGGCATAGCTTTATGTCTTAGTCATCAAATTACCTTGAATTCCATACTTGTGAATTACTGTCTTTTTCTGAAATACTTTGATTATTATCTTTGAGTGCGTTTTATGCGCTTTCTAAACTGTCGGATAAAAATTCTATTTGTTATTCTCGCTTTTGAGTTTGTGTATACACTTATTTACTTACAGTGATGTTCACCTACAAATATGACGTGTACCTATCGAGAGTTCATATTGATTTCATGCAATGACTGTGAGACTACAGAGTTCGACTTTAAAAAATAACCAACAACGGTGTTTCAGATTATCAAACTATAAACAGGGTGAAACTATAACTTATGGATGAACCAATCACATTTCGAATAACAAGTCTTGGATTTTGGTGCGAAATTCATTCACCCAATCGTCTAAATAGCGTTTTCGCATTTTAGCCGATGTCAGCTCGTGGTAAAAAAAAAAACATAAATCTAATTCCAAATCCAAACCATCAATTGTAAATCATGATCCCTATTCTTTACGCTGCTTTATAACACTTATTTAGCCCTACTAAGTAGGTGGTTATTCTCAAGGCCACTTTAGCGGCGCTCTAAGGTCGTCATTTATTTATTTGAGCACATAAATATTAGTACAAGAAGTCAACGAATACATATGTGCCACATAAATCATTTGATTTGTGTGAGGGCTGGGATACTGTCCGAGTGCCTGAACAGAAGCAGGTGGTTCTCTTAGAGGACCACACTCGAAGCCATCGACCTAGATGTCTAATCCATAAGGCAGTGGAGAAACGTCAGGAGATGCAATCCCATGGTAGCCAGTGACCAACAATAGGCTCATACGCCATTTGTTCCTTCAGGATCCTGAAGCCCATGTGCTTGATTGGTTTGGAATCAGGGTTTTCAAACTCCCCTAGGTGGATCCTCCGTATCCACCAACCTGGTTAAAGCGCCGGACATTCACTTTTCGTCCTCTCAGTTTCGTAGACAACAGTAATGCCGCGAGAAGATAGTGAGTAGGACTTGTGTGGCAGTGGTTGTATGAAGGTGGCCACTTGAGAGAATTTCGAGAGGAAGGGCTGACTCTCCCCACTCTCGGCCGTACCAGGACGATTGGGGGCATGAATTATAGTCTCACCATACAGATGTCTTAATTCAAAAGTAGAACCACCAAAACGTAATGAACTTAATATAAAAACAATGCAAACATTTAACAAGAGAGGACAGAACAATAGTTTAAATTTAATTCATTGTCAGGTAAAATAAATAAAGATTAGTAACAGTATTTCTTCTCATTAAAGCAGCCCTGGTTTATAAGTTGTTTTTTATTTCAATGTACAAACTGTTAAACGCATATTAAAGGCAAGATGAGAGGAAATCAATCACCGTGATTGTAATTTCGACTTTTTACTCTGTCTTAAGTAATATGCAATGAAGTAGATATGCAAAGGCTATCAAAATTAGGTTGAAATTTGAACTTTTTTTCAAAACGTTTCAAGGGCCAGTTTATAATTTCTCCTATGAATTATTTTGGTCAGTAGTACTATGTTTTTTCGTGATGCTTTACCATGGGTTATACTTCAACGAGTTCATTTTAGATAAATTTCCCGTTTCATTCTAATCTTACAAATCACCTTTTTCTTATCAATTTTCCCAAGCTATCATTATCAAATGCTATAAAATTCACGGTTTATAACGGACTTTAATTTAATACACGATTACTCTATTCACAATGCTTAGCAGTAATTATCTAATTGGTTACAGAAAATAAGCACCGATTTAAACAAATCAGTGTTATAGTTGACAAATTATCCTACTAATATAACTATTAATATGTTTCTGCCAGTAACTTTAATTATGATCACAGAAATACATTCATGAAAATAATCCAGATAGAAAAACTTATCTGATACAAAATACATTTCCCACAACGTTCAAGATATGAGGAATAAAAACAAACGAAAGAACGATTTTGTAAAGCAAAGTAGACAAAGTTATCTAAATAGAAAAACTAAGAGTAAAGAGTATTGAAGCATACAAAATTAGGGGAGAAAAACATCGTACAATTTATGTGAATCTTTCGTCCGGTTTAGCAACACTGTTAAAAACTTTTCCTAGAACCGACAGTATTGTAATGCCTCAACAGGTTTCCCATTTGTTCAGATCACATTTCTTTGGTATCTTCATGAGATATCCTTCTATCCAGTCCATCAACACTTGTTCCCCTCCAAAAACTTCTTGAATTTACGTGTAACATGTTTTCAGTTGCTTCTGTGTCTGAATTCAGTGCTTCAGCTGGTATGTTGTCAGGTCGTACTGCTTTCCCACTCCTCATTTGTCTGATAGTCATCCTGAGTTCTCCAATCGTTGGTAGAATAACAACTACAGGAAAGACTGATGTAGAAAATTGCTTATAAGTACTTGTATCTTCTTGATGATAAATGTAGTAGTTCTGGAAGTTTCAACTTCATACAGTTAAACCCAATTGTTTTGACTTTCGTACTAAAGATTTTTGACTTTGATGTTGGTTGACAGACAGTTGTTTTGAGTTCCATATGTTCTTTAATTGTAGGAATGCTGTTCTTATTTCGCCAATCCTCCCCTTTCTATCTGCATCAGATCCTCCTTGTTCATCGATTATGCTAAGTACGTGAAATTTTACAGCTCTTCCAGAGTTTTTCCATCAAATTTGACTAGGTTGGTGTTCTCCCTGTCGTATTTAAGGATTTTGCTTTTTCCCTTGTGTTTGTTGAGGCCTACCCATGCAGAGGTTTCTGTCACATTATTTGCTTCCATAAGCATCCGTTGCTGTGAATGAGATGTAAGAGCTAGGTCACCTGAGATGTCCAAGTCGTCTAGCTGATTCCAAGCTGTCCATTCTATTCCGTACTTCCTCTCAGATAAGGAGGTGGTGTTCATAATTCAGCCAACCACCAGAAGAAAGAGAAAGAAGGAGAGTAGGCAGCCTTGTCTGACTCCGGTCCTCAATCGGAATGCATATATCAGCTGTCCTACATACAAGACTTTGCAGTGTAATTCGTCGTATCAAATCCGGATGATGTTGACAATTTTCACAACTAATTACTGCATAGTGCCGAAGACGGTTCCATAATGATCTCCTATCCACATTGTCAAACGTCATTTCATATTCAAGGAAGTTAGTTGGCACACGACTGATCCTTATAGAATCTAACTTGTTTATCTCAAAGCTGGACGTCTACTGAATCTTTCATCCGGTTCAGCAACACTGTTAAAAACTTTTCCTAGAACCGACAGTATTGTAATGCCTCAACAGGTTTCCCATTTGTTCAGATCACATTTCTTTGGTATCTTCATGAGATATCCTTCTATCCAGTCCATCAACACTTGTTCCCCTCCAAAAACTTCTTGAATTTACGTGTAACATGTTTTCAGTTGCTTCTGTGTCTGAATTCAGTGCTTCAGCTGGTATATTGTCAGGTCGTACTGCTTTCCCACTCCTCATTTGTCTGATAGTCATCCTGAGTTCTCCAATCGTTGGTGGGATAACAACTACAGGAGAGACTGAAGGTGCTACTCCGATGTCCTGTAGGTTCAGTGGGGCTGGTCTAATTAAGAGTTCCTCGAAGTGTCCCACCTATCTGTTCCTCTGTTCTTCAATCTGTGATTGTCTGGCATTCCCTGTCCTTGACTCATATCTCTGGTTTACTATACTTCCCTATCAGTTTCTTTGTTGTGTCATATAGTTATTTCATATTTCCTGATGTTGCAGCATTTTTCACTGTTATTGCTATATCTTCCATGTATTTCTGCTCGTCAGTTCTAATGCTCTTCTTCACTTGTTTGTTTTCTTCTGTGTATTCAGCTTGTGCCTCGACTTTCTCTGCTCATGTTCGACTGTTTCTACTTGCTGTCTTCTTGTTCTTCCTTTCTTGAATACTGTCCACGGTTTCCATTGAGATCCATTCCGTATGATGATGCGTATTGCGGCCTTATGTTGCAGCTTCTTCCGCTATCATTCCCATACCTCCCATTTACTTCTGCTTATCTTTTCTAATGTTCTACCTCACTGTCTTGATTGTTTGTGCGTTTGGCATGTGCCTTGACTTTCTCTGATTTTGTTCGGCTGTTGTGACTTGCTGTCATGTTTTTCTATTCTTGAATCTTGTTCAGGTTATCGATAGAGATCCATTCTTCGTTATAATGCTTCTTGAGGCCTAATACCTTCTCACATTAAAGTTAGTGCTTCGTTGATCCTTTTCCAGTTGTCCTCCAAAAGTTTCTTCTTTCAGATTTTGTAAGGCTTGGAACCTGTTTTTTGAGAGTTATCTTGAAATAGTTGAGTTTGCATCCTGAAGGAAGTCTGTATTGAAACTTTGTAATGCTGTTCCGCCAGTTGTCCAGTGCATCCTTAGTTTCAATTTCTTCTTAACAACCACTAAGTGGTGATCTGAAGCTATGTCAGGTCTCCTATCAGGATGGTGAGATCTTTTCCCCAAATGCCCTGACACGGCCGAGAGTGGGGAGATCCCGCTCTCCCTCTCGAAATGCTCTCATATGGCCACATGCACACAACCACTGACAGGGAAGTCCTACTCACTGCCTTCTCATGGCGGAAGTGTTTACGATATTGAGAGGACGAAAAGTGAATGTCTGGCACTTTAACCGGGTTGGTGGACATGGAGGATCCACCTAGGAGAGTTTCTAGTTTTTTCCCTACGAATTTTATACTTATCAAGTCTACACTTATCATTCATACATTCGGTTTCATTTTTTTTAAACTTCCCGATCACTGTGTAACCCTACTTTGATATGTGAATCTTCTCAACAGATTGCATCTGTTAACTCATTATCAATACGATCGTGTAACTTCAGTAAACAATATTGTAGAGACGAAAACTCTCTACATTGAGTTTTCTTTATTCCTTCCTCAATTACACAATGAATTTCAAATACACAATTAACACACTCATTATACAAGTTACATTTCCTAAATATATTACTTTCACTTAGTGAATGAAGTTAGGTCGATTATGTCAAGTAACAACATAAAAGCATCAGTATACAAAAGCACGCGCATATTTTACGAAATATTGTCTTTAGCATACATAAATCGTTGGTTAATTAACGACGAACATGAATCTCCCTCTTATAAAAAATTAACAGGGTTGAATGAAGAACCAGTTAAATTTAAAAACAATATCATCTTATCCAAGTAAATTACTCAATAGAGCACAAATCAACCAGAAAAAAAAACACCACTACAATCCATGGAATATAGATAAACAGGAGACCAGAACAACTAATTATTGAGTGTATACAATCAGTAAAAACAGTCCAAATTTCAACGTTGACCCTACCCTACAACTATCTACGTATAAATCTTTTTTTTTCTTAAAAAAATTTATTCCTTTTCTTGAGAACAAACAACTTTTTATATTAGAAAATATTGAGGAGAAGAAGAAGAAAAGAAGTTGAAGATACAATAATAAGCACAACACAATATTTTGGGGTTGTTATTTAGGGAAAAAAGCGGAAACAACGAACCTAAAACATCAAATAAAAAAGAAAAGAAAATCAAAATAAAAAGAAAGTTAAACAAATTAACAATTAAATAAGATGAACTAACGCATTTACACATAAAAAATAAGTTTCTATTCATTTATTCATAGAGGAATGAATCAAATAAGAAAAAAAAACATAGGCATCATATGATGCATTAAAGCAATATACAATTATTTCATGTGTAATATTAGAAGTTTTAAAATGTATTTTTTTCAATTAATGTTTTATTATTGTTTAACATCAAAATATTGTGTATTTGTATATGAATTCAAATGATCATTATTCAATGAATTCGATGATATCATTGGATAATTATTAGTAGAATACAATGTTACTGAAGTAGATGATGGTGAACATGGATAGTTTTGTGTTACAGCATTAAAATATACTTGTGGACAGTAATATTGACTTGTTGTTACTGTTGTTGACATGATTACATTTTGTATAGAATTAGTATGAGATAATAATGGAGGTGGTGATGTATGAAGTAATTTATTATCATCATAAACACAATATAATGATGGTGTTGAAATACTTATTGAATTAGATGATAAAGTTAGTTCAGAAGTTGTAAATGAGAAATTTGTTGGACACTGTAATGTATCTGGTTGAAGAGTTGAAGGAATTGGTTGAAATGTGGATAATGATTGATTAGTATTTTCATTACTTAATTGATTATGATGATTATCTGTAACTTGTGAATCACTAACATTATTTAATTCAATATCATTTGGTATCTGGCAAAAGAAATAATTTTAAAATACAACAAAATAAATTAGTATATTTTTTTCTTGAAAAATGTAAAGAAAACTTGTTATATTTTATAGCTTTAACAAAACAGACATAACTAGAAACTGGATACAAAAGAATACATCGTTGATTTTTCTAGCTCTTATAATGTTGTTGTTAACATTGAAAATCATTAAGTACTATTTTTAATTAAAAGACTAGATGTGCTTTAGTATCTTTGATAATAACATTTCTGTAACGCGGATTTGATATCCTTCGCTACTAGAACATCTAAGTTGAACAAATTCACTCTACATGTAGAATTACTGATAATTTATTAGATAAATTAAGTGATTTCAGAAATAATGTGATAAAGATGATGTAAAATCACCTGAACTTAGTAGAAAGTTTCCAAGTGGACACCGGAAATTTAAAAGTTACTTGATTGATTAGTACCAGTAAAGTTAAACTAAGTGAGTAACACGTACACCAAAAAGCATACTACTAAACGAAATGTGTCATAATAGAATGTTAGTTGGCTTATTGAATAAGTTATATTCTCTCGACAGGAAAATAAAGTAGTTGATAACCGTTCATTGACTTAAAACAAAAATACTGCAATCAGAACTGAATTTAATGATACTACACTAAAAGTAGAACAAACTGAATAATGAATGAAATTATTATGTTATAACGGAACAAATGAGATTGTGGAGATTTTTAGCTCGGGTGGATGATTTTGGTGAAGTTTTGTTCTCTGAGCTGGATAGTTTGGTAGTGAATCTTTCATTGTTCTTTTGAACAAAATCATCAGCACAAACTTCAGGTAGAAGCGTTCGAATTCCTCTACATATGATTCACAGCTTGTTCTGTCGACCTCGATCTTGATTGGTTATTGTTGACCTTTAACCCATCGTTTTCTACTTCTTTGTTTTGATTGCATCTTTTTAATTTGATTCTTCGTCCGATACTTGCCCATGATTTTCCAGATTTGTCATGATAACATCACATATCGTCGCTTATATTAATCCATATGGACAACCGTGGACACACACTCGACCGGAAAAACGTTAAAGTTTTAAATAGAGTGGGATGAATTCTAATTGATACATATTGGTTATCTGAACCTTTCCATTGATATTTAGGATTGCAATTGATCAAATAAAAATTGAATCAATATGTAAAACGTAACATCAAAATTGAGATTTCATTCCACTCATTAAATTAAAATAAGTAAAATTATATACAACGACGTAGGCATCTTGTATTACATTTTGCTGGGTTGTGTTCAATAATCAAGAACAGATGTAAGTACTCAATTGGTTAGATCCAGTTATGTACAGCAAGCCTGTAATGCACCCACCCCGCTCGGGTCATTATATTTGAAAGCAGAGTTTTATAACCACTAGCCCACCCCTCACTACAGGAAGCGATAATAATAATAAATTTAACAGAGTGAATATATCAATAAGTTATCACTATCAACTTACAAGACCGCCTAACTCTCTAACAAGTTTACACAATTTCATAATTTTTACATCTTGATCATTTAAAAGTAATAATAAATCTTCATGTTCACCACGTAGATTATCACGTTCTTTTTCAAGCATTAAACACTTCTGTTCTAAATTCTAGGAAATAATGGGATTTGAGGGGAAGGGGTTAGAGAAAAGGAAAAAATACAACATACACTGTGTAAAACAATGCTTTCACGAAAGAAAAATCAATAACGACATTAGCAATAATGAAAAACCTTAACCATTTATTAACGAACGATAACATAAATATCCTCAAAAGTTATTTGGCAGCAAATTAGTTTCAAGTTAAACAGCATAACTGACTGGTTGATGAACAGATTGTCTTAAATACAATAATGTAAAACAAAAAAAGGAATTGTGTTTTTGAGAGATTAATTAAAAAGAAAGAGTAATACTGACAGCGTGATGTGTGGTACTGATGATGACAGATATAAGTAGTATGTATCACCAACCGAAGGTAGAATACCTGGAGGCAGAAGGTTGAGAAAATCGAAGAGAACGAGAACAGAGAGTGATTTGTATGGAAACGAGGGAACAACAAAGTCTGAAATAATTAATGGACATTTTGCAAATAAAGCATTTACTGTATGGTTCTTACATTTTACTAAGAGATTTCGTAATTTTGTATTCAAATACACTTGGTTATCATCGCCTGTTTTCATGCTCATTACAATAAGAATAGTCACAAACAATAACATCACTAATCGTGATTTTTAGAAAAACATATATATCCATTCAAAGTTCCGATTCCTATACCGAACATTCTTAGCTAGATATTTGAATTTGTATAATTGCAAATTGCTAAAGTCGAGAAAATCTTATGGTGATGATTATCTAAAAAATCTTTACAAAACAATTTCATTAATTTACTTGTATGATTCATGAAAGACAATGAGATGAAAATCGGTACTGTTTTGTGCCAGATTTCAACGAGAAACAGCTTACTGCCATTGAAGCATTTACCTTTCAATTATCAGGTTCAGATGCACTTTTCCTATGTTGCCTGAGTTACATGAAACATGTGTACTTGGTAAATATGTTTTAGGTACGTATCCTTAAGCGTAAATGATTTCAAATGAAAGATTAAGAAAGGAAATTTATTTAGCAGGTTCTACATGGACCGAAATACACAGATAAGACACTGTTCCTTATCTTCCCTGATGCTATTATTAATAAATAAGTGGAGTTATGGCGACCAAGAGATTGTTTAAATGAAAGTACTGAAAAAAAACCAAACGAAAAATGTGGTTAAGTCACAAATTTGAAGATTGACTGTCCTTTTGAAACCTATTATATTTAATATGCAATATCGGCGAATCATCCAAAATATTACTATTATTAATTAGATGTGTTCGTTGTAGAATTATGAAGATACTGATTATCAAAAATGATAACAAAGGCGATTTATTAGATAATGATACACTATCAAAAAATGTCAGCTAGACATTGTGATGCTCTCTACAAATACTCATGACTGAAGCAGAAGGCAATTAACAGTTACTAATGATTTGTAATCAAACGAAATAGTGTGGGTATTTTGGTTACTCTTTCCACTTTTACACTAAAGAATAATGCATCCATACATTTTAAATGACATCGTTTCAATAATGAAATAATAATAATTAACGGTAATACAACAATGTATAAAACATAAAATGGTCTGTCATAAACAATTTCCCATATTGATTGCAATTTATGTATTTACCTAACAAATCAACACCGAAAAAAAACAATTATTCAATAAATTAAAATTAATAACTAGAAATAATTATTTTACTATTACTATTATTAACATAATTTTACAATAATTATTTATACCACTTTTTAGAAATATTAATATAAATTAAACTGACAACTTACTTGAATAGTAACATTGTCAGTTATGGTTAATTCTAGAAAATAAAACGGGAAATATCGTAAAAATAACAATTATATATATATATATATATATATATATATATATATATATATATATATATATATATACAGAAAAAGATAGTTTAATTGACTAGGAAAATAAATACAAGAATAATAATTAAGATATTAGATAGTTATTTAACTGGGAAAAGTGAGGAACAAACAGGAAGTCATTAAAATTCATAAATAGCATTGAATAACATGCAACCTATACATTATCTTATTCCGTCAGTCATCTTCGATGTAATAGTTGGCAGAATTATATATCTGTTTAAGTTGGCATATATAATTATCGGCTTAGAGAAAGAGAAAATTTACAGGATGAAAAGGAAAATAGATTAATTAGTTTGAGCCGTGATAGAAAGTTAAACATACGAAGCACAAGTTATTTGTATAGAATTGCACAAGTATATACAGTTGACGAGTCCCAAACGAAATGCGCATCCTGGATTCCTGTTGGAGTGACCCAGAAAATTTCTCGCAAAGGTCAAACAAGGATCAGGAAAACGCTAAGAAGTGTTTCTTCCAATCAGTGTTCACTTGAAGTTTTAGCCAGAAATATCAAGAGAGCGAAACGTCACATGCAGAGGTTCTGATTGACTGATTGCTACACTGTTACTATGTTTAGTAGCATTCCAGAATCTTCTAGCAACCCAAGGACATTTAAAATATTATTAAAAAAAACCTGTATTTTCTGTATTGAAATGAACCTTGGAGTAAAGTACTTCTCGTAGACTTTGCGCCTTCTCTCTCGTTGTTCAGGTCGCTGTATATTTCTAGCTTGGGGGTTACAGAATAGCTTAGGAACCGAATATAGCGTTCAATTTGCAAGGCTTATCAGTTCCAGTTTTAGCCACCATATATCTCCGCTTATAAGAAGCACAGTTCGAAAGGAAGAAATCAAATAAGAGAAGTTATGAATGATAACTCAAAATCTAGAGGAAGATAGGTAATGAATCCGACTGAAATATGACAAACAGCTAATAATTTCATAGATATCATGTTAACTACCAGTATTTTTCCCAGATTACTTCAAACCCAATCAACACATAGTGTTGTGAACGAGAACATAGGTGGGACAACCAATGTATTTTAATACAAAATTACAGAATGTCTAGGTGAAATATTAGAACCATGTATTGAATACTTCAATGAATGAATGATCGAATCAAGTTATAACTGTTTTATAAAACAAAGAGGAAATTCATCTTGAAACTACATTGTTATACCAGACTCACTTTGTAGTTGATCTTCATTGACCATGTTATTCTGTTTTGCATCAGTTGGAGTATTACTATTAATTGTAGAACGACAAGTATTCAGCTGAGATTCTAATACACTTATACGATTACGCAACATCGTTATCTCATTCTCCTGTCTTGCCAGCTTCTCATCATATTGTTTACTTATCGTTGTAATTGTAGGATCAACAGGTTTACTATTTTGGTGATTATCACTAAATGAAGTACAATTCTTTACTCCATTAATACTACTGTCCAACTGGAATGTATGCATTACTTCATCTAAATAAACAAATGATCAATTAATCAGTAGAAGAGGTATCATATGAATGGCTTTTATATAGTTCAGAAAAGCTTCTTAACTAAACTCATTCACAATTTAAGTCTAGCTACAGCTAGGTGAAGTGTAACTGGCAGTAAAACGTATTACAATGAAAGTGATAATACAATATTTATAGTGTTTCTACGTATTTTACTAGCAATACTGTTTCAGACGCAAAGAATAAAACGAAAAATTAAAAAAACATATAATTTCCTATTTTGAAAGTTAGCGAAAAGACCAATCCACTTTATACACCAAAAGAAAGTAGGCTATCGACTAAGTATTCATTATTAAGCCAATTAATCGAAAACCTAAAATCAATTTTGTGCTTAGTTTATTTTGATGAGTCCGGTATTGTACCTGATCTTCAAACAATAATTTACGGGATCAAGATTTGGTTATAAACATGTAATTGGTTACTGATTTCTAAGCTATTACTAAATAAACATCAAAAGACACGTTCACCAACCAAATGTTTTATTTTGAAGTAAAACTTTGACAGATCATAACCAGGAATAGTATTTATTATTGATCAGGTACTATTGATCAACTCTCCTACTACTCATTTACATTTAGGACCCAACATAAAGAGTCCCTATCCAATAAGAAGTTTAAAACAAACTGATATTAATCAGTTTTGTTTAAATAATTTAATAACTGACTAAATTCATTAAAATATTTCTTCTATTTCATAAAATCATTAAAACAAAATTGTCAATAGTGTAAATCATTATCATATTTCAAAACAAAAGTAAATGAATCACTAAGGGAAACATATAAACACTTACATTCTAATCGTTTGAATAAACGTGTAAATGTATAATCAAATATTAAATCATCAGTAGACTGAACAGATATTTGAGGTTTTTTTGAGGCTGTAATAAATGATTCAGCTTTGGATATTTGACTTAGACGTTCTAAAATCATATCTATCCCGATACGTTTCTCCAGGGCAGTATATAATGTTGATCTAGAGTTTAAAGAGAAAAACAAAACAAGTCAATAAGATTAACAAACAAATGAACGATTGTATGACATTTTTCTTCAAATACTCTTACAATTGTCAACATCCTTTACACTAAAACGTAAATTTAACAATATTTAATCATATCAAAACCTTTTCGTATCTTAAACTCAGGACACCTTTTGAGAGTGATGACTTATGGTACCATATATGCTAACAAAACAAACGTATATGGAGTAGGTTTTAAAATTGAAACATGTGTGAGAAAGTGGATTACCCAAACCATTAAGTTACAACTTCATCATATTACGAACTTCGACTATTGATTTCATGGTTAAACAACTTCCCAGAACGAAATTCACAGTGAGTACAAAGTGCGACAGATTTCGATAGTTAGGGGTTTATAAACCACTGTCAGTATTACAAGAATACAAGTAAATTACTAACCATGTAAAAGTTCTTACACAAAATTATATGCTAGACATATTCAATTGTGAAAATTAACAATATCAAACGAATTTTCGAACCAGTGCAATTGGACAGGGTTTGAAAAGGGAACTCAGTGGTTTCCAGTCGGTTGACTGGACAACACATTTGATTATTATGCAAATCGACGAACTGAGCGGAATTAATGTAAATTCTATATTGAGAAATACAATAGTATGTATACACTCATTTGAAAAACGAGGATAGTAAAATCGACTATTAATTAAACACCAAAAATATAAACAATAACAAGTAATAAAAAACAATTAGCTTTTATTCATTTACTAATAAAAACATAATAAGTAAAAATGTTTTTCGAAATTTAAGTTCACATTTAGGTAACAGTAAATTAGATGTGAGAGCAAATCGTTTACTAAACGGTTGTAGGAACACAGATACCTTAGACAGGTGACACATAAAATATCAAGATATTTTTAGTTAAGATAGTTATAATCTTTTTTTTTCTAGAAAATACTACTCATTTACACAATTAGCAGAGTTATCAACGTAACATTTTAAATGAAACGGATATAACTATGCATAGCTTTTTCCCTAATGTGCTGCAATCATCATATATCACTTTACTTGTTGTAATGGGTTAAAATTCAAAATCTAACTTATTAAAAATTATTCAAAAAAATCTTTGTTCACGAAGGTAAGTTGATATAAAAAATGCAGATATTTTAAAAGCAAAATATCTTAGATCATGAAACTGATATATTGTTAACGACCAATCAAATTCAATCAGTGTTGCATGTTTGAAACATAAAAAGGATATTGTTAACTCTCATTTCTATTAGCTTCATTTGACGGTAGGGATTACCTGACTTAGTATCAAAGGAAAGGGAAGATATCAGAAATACCATCTATATACTTTATGTCAGCATTACAAGTTTAGTTAGGCTCCTTAAGTCGCTTGAATAGATAGAATTTAATTTTAAAAATCTTAATACAAATTGATATTTTTCCCTCAAATTATTTCGCCGTTGACCGCTTTTACTCATAATTCTAAGTAATTACAAGTGTTGTACATAATCTGATGACGGGTTGGATTTGATTTATTTGCTCATCAATACTGCAGATAAACTGCGGTATTACGTCATTTAAACGAATTAAGTTTTCAATTGTAGCTGGTTAAAGTTTGGATTATTGCGAGATAATCCATGCAGTTACTGTCTAACTGACTGACAAAGGCGTTTAAAAAACCAACATACCAGTTCATCAGTTCAGTTTGTAATACATTGTACATGAAATATTAATAAGAAAGGTATCAAACAACTTACAGGAATAATTCAAAAATGCAAGTCTCTTCAAAAATTAGGACAAAGGCAAGAGTAAATATAAACAAGCTAGTGATACTGGGTTTTGAGTGAATTTCCGTTTTTTCATCTTTCAATGTATATTCTTCCCGGTTACAATCCGAACTCCAATCACAGGGGTTTATGATATTCCAACCAAAAATCAGTAACTTCATGAAGAGATCCCATGTCTCTATCTAATTATCTTAACGCTTCTTCCAACCTACTTCAACTGGGGGAAAATATAATATCACAGTGTTCTGCGACTAAATACTTAAACTTTACGACTATTTCAGTTAATACAGGTTCACAACTGCGTCAACTAATTTCCTGTAAAACCCTAAGACACTATATTAATTACACGGCAGTTTCTTCGTGCAGGTAAAAAATCTGTAAAACAGATACTTTCAACGCATACACCTAAAATTCTATTAATTATCCTAAAAACCAATAAAATTGGAAATTGACCAAGTTATTATGTATACTATAGTTTTACTAACAAACGTGCCAGTGATGTAGATAAAATATTCATGTCAAGTTGTACCTCCTAGTGTCCACAACCATGAAATAAAACGTTTACCAATCAAAGCTCAAAAACTGTTACCTTATTTCGGTTAGACATTGAAGCCTCGTATAAATTAGAAAAACTTAACACTTTAAAAAAAAGAGAATATTCATATGACTAAATAATAACAACAAATAATTACCTTTCAAATCCATTTACATTCCCAGGATTGTAAATTACACAGATGCAAACTAATAATGTAGTCAAACCGTGAACTAATGCTTCATTTTCGTCATTATCCACTGCGCACGCTTCTGCAATAAGCGTCCATAAATACGAGCCACGATTCACTGATTCTGTCCGATCATCTCCTGTACCGGATGATGGATTTAAAAAACATCTTATTGCTTCAGAACAGTTTGTGAACCAAGTGCATAATAACTGCAGTAAACCCATGCGAGTTTGAAAACGATTACACTGTTTTAATTTGATAAATAAAGAAAAAGAAACAAAATACGTTGAGAAGTAATTACACTACGCGGTTGCGCGATCGAAATGAAGCAGCTAGATTCCAGCTTGTAAGCTACCGGGGTTAAAAGCAGAATTTTTCGATCAACACCACTTGAAAAATATGTCTTTTTCACGAGTGCGATATTTAAAATATAAGATCGCGTATGATAATACTGTTTGTAACTTATAATTTCTCAAATAGTTTCCTATCCTATGTCAATAAATAGCAGTAGTATATGAAGCCGAAAATTGGTATAACAGTTTTATTACGTGAAACAGAATAATGACTACGGTTTTATGACAATGCATATAAGCTGAATATCAAATCTTAGGGAAAAAATTCATGTAAACATTAAGTTATAGTTTCGTAGAACGCTTGCCGTCTTATATATAAGCAGCTACAGTAAGTGAAACTGAAACTTTAGCCGACAGACTTAATCCAAAGAAAAGATCAATAAATGCGGTTTTATGACAACGTAGATAGACATAAGTAAAGATATCAACAAACAACAGTGTTATGACAACTTCCTCCGTATCGGTAAATAATTGTCTAATTAGAACTGAGAAAAACTACAAATAGGAGAGACAAAACATTTCCGCAGTTTGCTGATATCATTGGATACAGACCTCTGTTTTCTTGAAAAGAAACGTGTTTTACTGTCCTAAATAGGCACACCTCAGAGTTCTAAACAAGACCAACACAATCATCCACATTTATGCTGATACTGTCAGTGCTGTGATAAATGAGGCCAATTCATCAGAAGATTTGCGTAACATAACACTATAAAATTCACGACACTTCAAGCTCCTCCATTTAGAAAATTTGTTGAAATAAAGGATTAAAACGAACTAGAACAGTTGAACAAACAGTGAATAATATGGTTACGATACCTAGAAGACTTAATATATTCCCCTAATTGTAATTTAAATTTCTAAATCCTCAACTACGTTCACCAATTCGTAAGATCACGCAGTTCCCAGTCTATCTTCGTTAACAAATACACTGCTATAAGATGATCCTCAGCTATAACTTATCACAGATAATGTTTTTATCTTTACGAGCCGACCTTCAGATGCAGCAGTGCAAAGGGCAACTTTGAGCAACTACGCGACGAAGATACAGGAAAAAACAAACACAATTAATATGAGTTGAGAAGCTCATTGCCATTAAGCCTTTTTTAATGACTTAATAAATGTTACACAACTAAAATCCTAACTGGCAAAACTGGTAGTTGGAGTTACCACAAACACTCATATTTTCCTATACCTATCCGGAGCCGCAAAATAAAAACCTCAAGAAAACCAAGTGAGTTTTAAATCTCCATCAGCTGTTGACCAGATATTTTCTGACCCATACTCTTTGATACATACCTTATATAGATTCCTGAACACAAAGATATTCGAATTTTCATGTCGAACGGTTTTGTGGTAATATCTTCAACCGAAACGAGTCCAACACTTACATCACACTAGCACTGAAGACTAACTACTCGGAAAGTTGTACTTATATATAATGATTGTGGCGAATTAATGTTTGAAGCGGTTACGTCTGACAATATTCATTATAGATAATCACACAAAATCTTATCCAATTTTGAGTAACATTAAAGTTCCTTTGCCCAACTTCACAATGACTGGTCTACTTGAAGAACTGATAAATAGCCTAAAATATGCAGAAGACATGATCCTCTAAGTTGAAGATGTTGGAAAAATGAAAAATCTTTTGGATACCATAAAGGATAATGTAAGGATTTTGGAATGTGTTTTTCGACTATAACTTAAATTCAAATGGAGCATCACATTAGCATGTAGTTCAGCAACTGACAGTGAAATAGTTAAGTCTGTTTACTATTGTACAGCCGTTACTTAAGTTGGCCTGCTATACTACTTTGTCTGGGACTTGTTAACAAAAGGAGGTAAGGTTGATATTAATAACAACTAATGGGATTTATGCGAATAAGTAGGAAATTTTTTGTTAGGACCAGAGATTTTAAATAACAGCTCAAAATCCGTTGGAGTGAAGCAAATTAACTCACATTTTTTATCTTTTTGGTTTGCATTATCATTTTCCAGCCCTTTTCTTTTAGATTTTTATTACTTCTGATTTCAAACCTGAGATTTTTTCTCCACTTGATATATATATATATATATATATATATATATATATATATATATATATATCGATTGAAAGTAAGTTAACAAAGACCACTAGAAGTGTAAAATGACATAAGAACTATTCAGAGGATTGATTATTGATTAGATAATCAAATGATAGTATATTCAGTCATCCAGGTTACGGTTTTTATCGTCATTCTATCTGAATCCACTAGCATTCAATAACGTAAGGTATACACCCCCTACACATGCACACATGTTGTAAGTATCTTTTCATAAAAAATAAGGTAGAACTAAGCAAAATGGAGAAGAAAACGTAGATGCCCACTTCCTTCTTTCCTTGTCTGTTCCCATATTATTTGATAATAAGAAATAATAACAAAAAAGAACTTCAGATACCACGCTAAAAGTGAATTGAACAAGTGTAGAATAGATACAACTCCACTTCAGCTGCAGAACCATTGAAAACTAGAGAGTTTTAGCATTCGTTCAATTGGGAAGCTACACGTCGAGATTCTGGAATGTTCTTTCAAACGATGATTGGATGGAATGTCTTCGGCTCTTCCAGAACTTCCTTGAGTTAACCGGGAGCCCTCCCCACATATACTAACAAAGATTGATCAATAAGAATATTTTCTAGCTGAACCTTGATTTTGACAAACATTTCCACCAAAAACTTGGCTAACCCATACTAATAAAAACATATTTGTTTGGATTAATCTAGACCGATGTTTTAGAACTAACCTATCAGCTCGGTACACTATAATACTTATTCCACTTCAAAGTTATAAAGGGTTTTTTAATGAACACACACCTTAAATCTCATGAAAAAGATAATTTCGTAGATGGGAATGATAGTTCTCGAAAATCAATTGGAATTGTTAACTTCTGACTATCAAATAAAAAAATCTGAAGAATTTCCTCATATAATAAAATTTTAATCTGAATTAACAATTACTAACTTGTTGTTGCCATATAAAGCACTGATGAAAAAGGGTAACAGGTAGAGCTCCTTCATTAGGAGATAAATGTACGCGCAAAAGTTCTTCTTTAAGCTGTACATTATCATGGATACAATGAAGAAGAGCTATTGAAGAAAACCAAGCTGATGAATCACTGGAAAACAATCCTCCACAAAGCAACTGACCAGCGCTAACACCAAGCTGTGGAACTGAAATCAAAACTAAATGACTACTTTTAAGTGGCAATGAGCATCAGTTAATAGATATCAATACTAAAGTTAGAATTGACAAATTTAAATAAATTGGGTATTTCATAAAATTTTAATAATAAAATCGAAAGAAATATCTTGGATTGGTACCGTAGTTTTGCCTTACTGATATGGTAGGACAGAACAATTGTAACCTATCTTAAAACTACACAAAATGAAAATCCCCCATAAAACAACAAAAACTCTTTCAGATGCTTTGGTTCAAACCAAGCTTTAGAAACTAGTAGTCACTTAATAAATATCCAATGATTCTGATAAGTTAAACGATACGATGTAACACTGTACTTAAGATGATTTTTCTCATTTGGAGTTTATAAACACAAAGAGTAATATGAGACACTTAGCCTAATGAATATACAACATACGTGTTTAACAGGACTTAAGAAATATTAGTGACTGAATAGCTATCGACCGTGGCTACCTTTCTAGTAAGTTATTAATGAATATTATCAATTTTTATCCACGGCTTTATTGAGTTAATCTTTGAATTTAGTGATGCAGTCTAAATTGAAGTCAACAGCTTTTGTCCTATAAAGACAATTCATTGTATAGTTGACGATTTCATTTTAAGACAATTCAACATTTTAGCATTTAACTAAACATACCATCATTAGGTTTAGGCAGCAATGTCATCACAATTGCATTCTGTCCCTGATGATTGGAAGCAAGATAACATTGAAAGCAGTATAGCGCAGCTACACGCACAACTACAGATTGATGCTTATTTAACATAGATACGAGTAGCACATTCACAGCAGATTGAGGGGGCTCTGAAGGTGTAACTAAATTTGCTAAATATTCTTGATTTCTTGGGCATCCACGTATTGAGTCCGCTAAAGCATAGATTGATTTTGTTAGGACATCTGCTGGAACACCACTAATCATCACAATATTACATAGTTTTTCTAGAAGACCACAATCATAAATCACATTCTGGCAGTTTCGCGTTAATTGAGCTTTATTACAAGGCGCTACCAAGGTTTGAACAACCTATTTTTTTAATTTCAAATACAAACAGATAATCATCATTAACTTGGTACGTATAACGTACGAAAACAAAAATAAGTAAATGTTTAATGAAACAAACAACACTTTACTACTAAAGTATATTGGAAACGAAATAACTGAAAATATGCGTTACCTGTTGCGGAATAACACACTGATTCGAAAATATTTTTCAAATCTTGGATATGGAAATAAAAGCTAAATCTTGGCACCTTAGTCTTTTGCATATGACTGGTAACAAACTATGATCGTTGAATACTGTGAAGAAGGAATTTAAAATTTCATTTATACTTGTTATGGCTAAAAGATGAGTACATAAACCTGTAATTTGCAAATGAATCATATTAGAATAAAATGATCTCTCAAACAGAAGTTGATGGACCCGCACTATTAAACCACATATTTTAATGAATATCCACTAATCCAGTGAAACAAATGTGCTGTAAATAGAATTGTCAAGATAATTTCAAAGGGGGGAAATATTATCTTACAAAGTTTTACAGAAGCAGCTTATAAGCCACCGGAAAAAAATTCGACATATGTACACCTTAAAAAGGACAAATAAATTGTGTGCATCTAATGAGATAGTCAGTTGACTTTAATATTATAAATAAGAAATACCAGATTTACAAAAGTACTCCAATATAAAAGTAATAAGTCTTTTTATAAATATTGATGTGTTGAAAAATTTCAATCACTTATGTACGAATGTGTTGAAAATTTCAAAGAAATTTTAGCAGAGAAAGAGGTATAAAACTCAATAAATTAAACGATTGAAAAGCCTGAATGCAACTGGAAGAATTTGATAATTACATTCGAAACAACACTTACCTGCATAGCTACCTCCGCATTGACAACTTTCTGTGCAGACCAAAGGTGTGACTGTGTACTTTCAGTAGAATGCAAGTCAAATAAAAGCGAAAGACGCTGAATAAAATTCCCTTCTGCAAACAAGACTTGATTAGATGGATTACCGTCTAACAATTGGAATAACAAACGAAGACAATCTTCTACAACCACACTACCATCACACAGACCTTCAGAATATATGATTTTCAGTAACCAATCGAAAGCATTTTCAAAGGCTACTATTTTCTGGATGTTAGCATTTGCTTTGGTGAGTTCCGTTAGAAGAAGTATGACCTGTGATAAAACAAAACTTCGAAATGTGAATAAAAATGTTTTGAATAAGAATAATGATAAAAATTTAACGAATTAAACAGTGAATATAGTCTAGTAGGATTGCACCTCCTTAAAGTATGAGGCCAAGACAATGAATTCCTTCAAAGTTTTAAAAATCACAAGTATAACAAAAGTGATCGATACGTGTAAAAAACTAGAATTCATTTAACGAAGGGGATTAAACTGGTAGGCACTATCTTTTATCATAGTTTACTGTCAAACTCACATCATTCCGCAAAACTTCATGAGTGTCTGAAAGTATATCCACAAGTTTTGAAACTCCGGTACGACACTGAAGGAGAGCATTTTGAGTATCTTTTAGACGATTGATAGAAAGCACCGTAAGCAACCGCATAGCGTTCCGTCGAATAAAACTCTCAGGTGCCTGGTAATAAAACAAGTATGAATAACCATATAACACAATTTAATTAGAAGTATTGGGAAAAGTGACTGACTTTTACGATTACAAAATAAAACATTAGAGTACTTTATTTGACAAAATATTTTAAAAAAAACTATGATGTATCAAAAACTAACTAGTTTCAAGACTTAGTTATTCTTGGCATTTCATTAACGAACGGTCGATGGGAGTACGTTTGTATAGAAATAAATGTATTTGTTAGTAAAAAGGAATATTTTCGTGTGTGGAAGGTCAACTAGATTTTCATCTCCCAAAATGTTTATATTTTTCATTGCGTCAAACTACACAGATTCTGATACCAGGTTTCTTTTTAGTCATCACAAAAACGAGTAATTGGATGCGAAGTACACAGTTTCTGTTTCTCTAGAATGAGACAAGACCTCACCATAATATTGTTATCCAGTAGCTAGAACAAAAGGTTCCTACAACCGGAAACAAAATATCTGTGAATTTTCGCTTAATTTTAAAATCCTTAATAACGGTGATTTCGACTACAGACCAACTGTTGCTGCTAATTATTACCGATAAAAAACACATAATGACCAAAAATTTTGTGTTGAGAGAGTTCTCACTATTATTATTCAGGTTTTCTGCATTTTCGCCTCGCAATCAGAAATTTTGAATTAATAAATAAAAAGCCTATTTCCACTATCTGTGCTCAGCTATTTAAATAAACATTTCACCAGTTTGTGAATCAGTAACACTGTTTTGAGTAATGTTTCACGACCCCTGTAGAACTAAAACCCTTTTTTCAAATGACGTTTATTACTGATAAAAGGGAACCTAATTCCACTAGGAGTTTGCAGAACTAGAAATGTAGCTGTATACTCAACTTTTTCTGTTAGCGCAAATTCGGTCTACCTGTGTTAATAGGGTATGACGACTTGAACCGATATACACATATGCCAGATTTTACGCTACGCTTGACTGACTGGTGCCTTAAGTCTACCAGAAGTATATTGGGTAGCGTTTCCGGTATGCCGACAAACCTTTAAAAGGAATTTATTCCCAACCGAAAGATAACACGGGTGCCAATATATTCAATAAATAGGACGGCATGGGAGTCCTGAATTCCACTGCTAGCTACAATCTAAATGTGATAAGAATCTGAGGCGGTCATTTTGTACATTAAAATATGGAAATTGTAACCTTGCAACATACGGTAATGTTCAGGAATTTGATAAAGAATGATAATGGAATCATCATATCCCCAAAATGAAGCGTGATTTACTCCATATTAGTGGTTTGGTTTAGTGTTTTGGATAGTCTGTATAGTGTATAATTAGTAAACAATTTATATGTACCCGTCACCAAACTGAAAGTCATAGGATGTTTAGCTTTTTAAATGTAGCGAAAATTGTCAGTTTGCCATATTTCACTCAGCTTCTTGACCTGAGCACTATCCCAATTGTTGGAATTGATCAAAGCGATATTTAGTTTTACTGTGTAAAACGATTTCGATAGATGGGGATTACTTTCAGAAGACAGCTTCATTCGTATTTTCATTGTTAACTGGAACATAGCTTGTAATAATGGAATAAAATAAGATAGTTGGACATGGAAGCATTCAACATTTTCTAACCGAGCTATCAACTTTACCCAACCTCAATGACATTGGCTTTTAGGGCTGGTAGTTTGAATACGCTACAACACCCTGTCTCTGGATACAACTCACCTTCACTTTAAAGCAAACAGCTTTCGCAGTCCGTATGTCAACTCTGGGATTTTAAAATCAACAGAGCAATTCACACTAATATATAGGAAATTCTCCCCGAATTAACTGTGTTTGACGGTTGCAAAGAACTCATATAAAATATGCTTAAGAATCAGATGTGTATCAAGGGATAAAATTACCCCAATAGCAAACACATATAAAGGAACTCCGTCTTCATTTCACCGCCCGGAATTAGTCCTAAAATTTCATTCAATACTGATACCGCTGAATTTAAACCTCACTACTGTACGATCTCTAGTGAAAGATACATGTGAATAAATCCCAAAAACACTTAGTTACATTCAATCAGTATGCCATAAAGACCTGGAACAAATAAGCATCTACTCAAATTACCAAACATCAGAACACTGACATGGCAACAGCAATATTCAGTGGTAGCAGCGTCTTTATTAGTAGAAGACTGAAACTAAAGAATATAGTTGGAAAGAAAGGGTGAATTAGAGAAATAAGCACAAAATGACGGTGAGATTCAAGATCTAAAGGAAGCTAAGGAACAGGTGCTCTTGTTCATTTTTCGTATTGTTTTGAATTATCAACGACGACTTGCCAGATTTAACAAAAACATTGCGGTCACTAAGGCAACCAAGTTCCAAAACATAACAGATCAGGATCAAGTCAAAAGTGAGGTATGCTGAGCCGGTGAGACTAACTAATGGATAACCTTTGAGCAAAACCGAAGTGACCTTGAGAATACTCACCTACTTACTAGGACTAAGTGAGGGCTATAAACCAGTGTGAGGAATAAGGATTATGATTCACAGTTATTGAATGAGGTTAAGAACTAGATTTACAGCTTCGATCACGAACTGACATCGGTCAAAATGCCGAAACGCTATCTAGCCAAACGGGTGAGTGAATTTCTCACCAAAATCCAGGACGTACGACCCTAAATCTGATTGATTCCCCCATAAGATATGGCCTTGCCAGCTTGTTGTATTGTTGTATAATTAAATAAGCGCATTGTTGCCCTAACTAATCTTCGATAAGTACTGTGAAACAATACAATATGTTTACCATGTTCATATGAGACTACTGGCTTAGGAAAATGAAGTGAACTGATAATAAGGTCAACTTACATCCAAAAGTGACAATAAAGTTTGGTAATTTTCAGTGTTCTTCATATACATTTCCGTGAACTGTACACCCAGGTCAGTTGGTATATTGACTAACTCATGAGGTTCAACTACGGAACTTAAAAACTGGGAAGAACAAACCTTGTTCGCTTATTTCATCGTTCATCACAGAATAAAGGCCTTCCAAGGCGTAGCATAAACTATCCGAATCCTCCCTAAAGAAGGTGAATTATAGGCATTAAACGCTCGTAACAAACCAATCATTTTTCAGGACTGAAGAGAAGATAATCATTGCTTGGGTTCCAACCTCCAATCGGTACTTCTAAACATCTAGATATATAAAGATTAAAAATGTTTGCTTGCCTTAGAAATTGCTTTCAGGGCCCGTAAAGCATCCCTCTTGTCATCAATTCTAGTTGAAGACTGGTAGCGATCTACAAGCTTATCCACCTTTGACCAGTGTAAAAACCTTGCAAAAACGTACAATATCAGCTCCAACAACCTCGTCTGATTCCGTCGAACCACCTAAATATTTTCTAAATATTTCCATTTCTGATGAGCTGGAGAGGAGTAACGAAGTAAGGGAAAGACCCGCGTAGTCAAACGGTTCAAATGGTTGTGGATGGAATAGAAGAAGCTTTCGCATAACAGGCTTCCGTGTCTAGTAGCAGGGGATCACCAATACCTCTAGGCAGGAACCCGGGTACATTATCTATAATAGATTAGGAAAAAAGAAATTGGCAGCTCATAATAAGATGTCATCCCAAGTCCGTAAGAATACGTCAAGTTTCCTCTTAAAGGACTCCTGGGAAGTCGTCTGCACTAGCTCATTCGGCAGCAAATTCCAGAGTTTGACAACTCTTAAGGAGTAGAAGTTGTGTCTACAGTCCGTTCTGCTATGTTGTATCTCTAATTTCTGGGTGTTACCCCTTAGGTTGGTATTGGGACTAAGCTTAAGTAGGTGTTTCAGGGGATGTCCAGAAGTGGCAAGGATACTGAAAGCCATCGGTGGGTCAACCCTGAGATGCCTGTGCTCTAATGTGTAAAGGTTAAGTGATTGGAGGCGCTCTTCATGAGGTTTGAATTTGAGTCCCCGAGTTGATTTCGTGGCTCGACGTTGGATACGCTCCACAGTGTCCTAATCCTTTTTGAGTGAGTCGGTAATACTATGTTTCCGTACTCTGAATGGAGACAAATAAAACTGTCGAAGATTATATGGAAAGTTCTTCCGTCAAACTGGCCAAAAATGCGCTTCAATGTTAATAGTGCAAGGTTTGCTCGAAAGGCATTTTTGTCACAGCGTAAAACTTCAAATCGTAGGGCACCAGGACTCCTAAATCTTTTTCGACTCGGGATACTACTAGAGAGGGATTTCTTAAAATGTAATTGTAGTCTGTGACATGTCGCATATGAACCACTTTACACTTTGAAGTGTTAAAGGTAAGTCCGTTGTCGTCTAACCAACTTTGAAGTCGAGTCAGATCCTCCTGAAGTGCCTGTATATCATCTTCGTTGAGTATTTCTCTCCAACGTTTCGTGTCATCGGCAAAAAGTAATGTCTGATGACGCCTGTTGTGGAAGATCATTTAGATAGATCAAGAAGAGGAGATGTCCTAGTACTGAGCCCTGGGGGCCCCACTAGGACATTCCATAGTCTGAGATAAAGTGAAGTCAACGCTGACCTTAAACTTTCAATTTTTCAGGTATGAAATGATCTGATACCCAGTCTTTTGAGCTCACTGCTAAAACATATATGATTAACTGCATCAAAAGCTTTCGAGAAATCAAGGTAAATGATATCAACCTCTCCCCTGCGATCAAGGATGCTTGTCCATCTGTCCACCTCAGTCAGCAGGTTGGTTATACAAGAGTAACCCTTCCCGAAACCATGCTGTTGGGGTGAGAAGAAATTTAAGGACAGTAAATAGTCATGTATGCATTGCATATCAGGGACTCCATGATTTTTGAAGGTATAGAGAGAAGAGCCTTCGGTCTGTAACTTGAAGGTTCGCTGCGTCGACCTCCTTTGAAAATTGGTGTGATGTGAGCCAGCTCCCAATTTTCCGGTAGTTTGCCTCAGCTTAGCAAATGTGAGAAAATCACGTTAAGCGGTGTTGACAGGATTGAGGCTGCTTCCCTCAGTATAGCACAATGGGCCATATCTGGGCTAGGAGAAGTGTCTTTTTAGGTGCTGCAGTTTCCAGAACACCAATTCAGCGCCCAGATTCACTTCGGAAAGTCCTGTGCAGTTGTAGATGAAGTTGTCATCAGTATAGTTGATGTAGGTCGGTTGAAATGTCCGAGAGTATTGTTCAGCCGAAAGGTTAGCGGCGTCGCCGTCGTCATTTGTCGGGCGATTAGGACCTAGCAGTCATACTCAATCAACAACATAATTGTAAACCATCACTATAAAACACTGGATTCTTTCTATACAACGCCTCAGAGTTAAAAAACAGTTCAGTATATTTGATAGTGGCCAACAATATTATTCTAGAAGCTGATGATACATCATATGTACTTTTTGTTGCAATATCAAAATTGTGTCGAACGTGATATTTTTCAATTCGTTTAACGGTCAAAGTCTATATTTTGAAGAACTATTTTTAATACTTCGTAGCCTCTGTCTATAATTATATTATATTTGTGTTTACATCGTAGAGACTAGTCCAGGTTCCATGACATGTGGGTAATTCTGTACTGGAATTGTGGTAGTCTGATCAAAGATCATAAGTGATTTCTAGGCGCGTCTTGTGTTAGCTAAATGGTAAATAAGAAGTTTTAAAACACAGTAAGTCTTATACACTGTTTATTCCAAATCAGATAACAAAGTCATTTTATGTCATTATAATTTAACCAGCTCTTAGTGTATTATCAATACAGTCGTTTGGTTGTTTATATCAAATCGAGAATTATTGGGTATAAAATTATTTATGAATTAATAGCGTTGCTCAAAGATTTTGGAAGAAACTGAATGTGAAAGGTCTATGAAAACGAAAATATAATGTAATGTTGGAGGAAGGAAGTTAATGTGTGTCATGGTGCCATGTCACATTAGTTCATGAAGTAATGCAGAAAGTTAATCGATGTGTGCCGTTTTCTAATCTCAACTCTAATGCATTAAATGCTGTTGCTAATAGCGAGCATTTTGGATCTTTCAAACTGTGGAAGGTGATTCACGGATTGTTGGACAATTGCAAAAATTGAAAGGAATCAAATATGTTCCTGTAGTGGCTGATACAAATATGTATTTACAAACAGCATATATACACCCAACTGCATACCGATTTTGGAATACAACATAAGAGTAAGTATTTGACACTAAATTCTACTAGTCCAATCTTTTTAGACACTTTCTGTAGTTTTGTGATTAATTCTAGATTTGTTTCTTTATAAGTTTCGTATAAATCTTTAAGGAAGCAGCGAAGATTAGTAGTCCATGAGGTGGATTTTAAGCATCTTTTGTTCTTTGATCTGAATGATTTACTCCAATAAGGAGTAAATTGCTAGAATCCCTCCACAACGGACTAGCTTCTTGCTATGTTGACCTACAATTTCGGAAAACATCCCTATGAACTACAAATGTACTCAAATAAGAGTTCGAATACTCAATTCAGTGCACGATCTAAGCATTACTTTCACGGGAAGCCTAAAGTTGGGAGCACATGCCTCATTACTTATTTCTAAATTTAGACGGCTAATTGGTCCAATAATGAAATTTTTCTTCACAACAGAGGCTATGATTACTCTTTACAAAACATGTATACGACCCTTCCTTCAATATTTCTCCTTTATCTTCTCAAACATGAATACCACAGACAAGATAGGAGTAGAAGATATCCAAAGACGCTTCACAAGCCGACTGCTAGGATGTGACTCCATTTGCGAATAAACAGATGGATGTGAGCACCTCTCCCTAGAACCTTCATGGTATAATCAGCTAAGGAACAATCTATTATTTCTCTACAAAGCAATATATGGACTCACATTTCTAACTTTCTGCCCAACTATGATTCATGACGCAGTCTACAGAATCAGAAACAACGCATATACGCTGCCTACTGTAAAACACCGAAAACTATTGTGTTGTAAGTTTTTCACAGTACGGTATAGCTTATTATTATGGAGTAGATTGCCAATTCCTATCCGTAACTGTGACACTATGATCAAGTTCAAAAGACTAATAGCACTATAACTTGACAACAAAGAGCTTCACCAACTATTCCCTGAACTTCTTCCACCAATGAGGCATTTTATTATGGACCACTTAATATCCAGACCGACCATGAATATAATGGACCTCAATTGTCATTAATATGAACATAACCAAATGATAGAACACATTTTTTACTCTCCCGATATTCATTGCTTATCAATTATGCCCCCACGCTCCTAATCCTCACTTTCAGATTCAGAATCTTCCTGATGCGTATTCTACTTGGGAGTCATGTCCTTTTTTCTATTATGCGTAGAAAGATAACTCACTAATCTCATCGAAGCTGATCAACTATGGCCGACCACAAGAAGCTCATGATGTTCAAATTCTTGTGGGTTGCTCAATGTTTTGTTTTCTTATTTTGAAAACTTTACAATTCTAAACTCTTGCATATTACTTCGTTTGTTATCTTTTCTTACCATCTCCAAACCACATATAAACTGACCTGTGTTGTTTCAAACTTTTACCATTAGTTATCTTCATTGCGGTGAGATATACTAAATAGATATCTAACCCACAATACAGAAATTTCAACCATCTGCTCTGATTTGGTAGTAACATGGAACTAGTGGAGACGGTGTATTCCAATAAGTAGCTTGGATTCAAGTAAT